TCCTTCCTGCCATTAGTGTAAAGTTATTTGCTCCATTACAGTTCCTTCCTTCCTTCCTTCCTTCCTTCCTTCCTTCCTTCCTTCCTTCCTTCCTTCCTTCCTTCCTTCCTTCCTTCCTTCCCTCCCTCCCTCTCTCTCTCTTCTTTCTTTTTTCGAGTTAACCTTTACTCTCCCAATGATTTCTCTGTGACTCACTACTACAGTTTAAAAAATGTTGTTGGTATTTGTATCTTTGCATATGTTGTGAGGAATCATTAGAATTATTTCTTCTCTGTGTCACATATAAAATTTGCATGCACAACAAAAGCACAGATCGTTGCTATTTATTTGTTGCTGATATAAAATGCATTTCAAAGAGAAGGAGGGGGGTGGAAATCTAAATTGAGATGATTTAAAAGAGAGTTCACTTCCCAGGCAACATACCAGAAAGATCATTTCATTGCAACATAAAACTGACTGATAGTGTTATAGCAATATATGATCTAAACTATTTTCATTTTTGCAAGGTCCATATTAATATTATTAGTAAACATTTGGAATTTATATTATGCTTGATAAACTAAAGCATCATAAAATTAAAACACATAGCTGATCTTTGTTTTAGAAATGAATAAAAGTAATAAAAGTAATGAAATATAGAAGATTCTGTAAGACACATTTTTGCATAGTTTAGAATTATTTTATCTTAGAGCAACACTTTTGCAAGACAAATTTTATCCACACAGAAGTGGCATCTCTTTTAATAATTGTTATACCTTCCTCTCAATTCCAACTGTAGCAACATCAATAATAACAAAGACAAGTAACATATATTTCTATTGCTTTTGGAACACATCAACTTTTAATAATTGTGATTTTTACCAAGTGTAATGATGCTCATCTTAGCAAAAACCTCACCAAGCAAATGAGCTGCAGGAGTTCAAATTATAATAATAATTTAAAAAATTAAAGACCAAATAAGAAGTCTCATAATAATTTATGTCATAATCTAAGATTTTTATTTCTAGTTAGAGATGCAGAAGTCAAAGGAAGAGGCAAAGTAGAAACAAAATTCATACACAAAGGAAAGACAAGACACAGTCACACGCACATGCACACCCAATGATATTTTCAGTTTACATCTAAAAGAAAAAATCACTTATATCTTTTTCTAATACTTCTTATCTTAAACATACACAATATGATAATAATATCAACAGTAAATCAAGTAAATCACGTTGTATTTTGCATATTTAAAATATCAAAACATCTTAGGCATATAAAGGCATCTGACATTAATAGTAGTACTAGGTTACAAATTTTCTTAACTGCTCTTCTTGGGAAATTTCATTATTTTTGATGCCTTTAAATCTTTTGGAGTTCTGCATTTCTGCCATTAGTCCTATTAATGTCTTTTTCTGAAACTACCTTTGTAAAAATTATGCTACTTAACTAGTCATCCAGTAGCAGCCACTGTGTGTTTTATTAAAATTTAACACTTATTCTTTATTCCCAAAATGAAAAAAAATCACATATATTTTAGAAACAGCTTATAACTAAATATTAATCCATGTCAAGTAAGTTGGTGAATATTGTTGAAGTTTTCATTGTGATGATCTAACTTTCAGCTGATAATCTTAAAGCCTACTTTTTAAATATATTTTCTCAACAAATATGACTATTTTGCCTTTTAAAACATAGTGAAATAACATAATTATATTAAGATGTTAAAATAGTATTAACATACACTCTTGTGTAAGGTAATATTGTACTGGCAGAATAATTTAAATATTGAAACCTTTAAATTTCTAGTATTACAAAAACATTTTTCTTCAATTTAAGTCATGGAGCCATGCCCCTCTCTGCTCTAATTAGATATTAGGAAAAAGTAAGTTATTAAGAAATTCCATCTTTATTGTGATGGCTCTGAGTCAAAGTCACATGGTAAGCTAGCCCTACCCTGAATCACAGGATTCCTTAGAAAAGTCACTGTCAGTCAAGGGATGGTGATGCTGTAAAGCAGTGGTTCCCAACCTTTCTGGCTCCAGAGATTGGTTTCATGGAAGGCAATTTTTCCATGGACTGGGGTGGGAGGATGGTTTCAGGATGATTCAAGCACATTACATGTATTATGCACTTTATTTCTATTATTACTACATAGTAATATGTAATGAAATAATTATACAACTCATCATAATGTAGAATGAGTAGGAGCCCTGAGTTGTTTTCCTGCAACTAGACAGTACCATCTGGGGGCAATGGGAGATGTTGACAGATCATCAGGAATTAGATTCTCATAGGGAGTGCACAACCTAGATTCCTCACATGTGCAGTTTATAATAGGGTTTGTGCTCCTATGAGAATCTAAAGTCACTGCTGGTCTGACAGGAGGAAGAGCTCAAGCAGTAATGCAAGCGATGGGGAGCCACTGTAAATATAGATGAAACTTTGGCCAGGTGCTGTAACTCGTTCCTGTAATCCCAGCACTTTGGGAGGATGAGGTGGGCAGATTGCTTGAGTCCAGGAGTTCGAGACAAGCCTGGGAAACACAGTGAAAACCTGTCTTTACCCTCCCCCCCCCCAAAAAAAAATAGCCAGGCTTGCACATTTGTAGTCCCAGCTACTTGGGAGGCTGAGGTAGAAGAATCTCTTGAACCCAGGAGGCAGAGGTTGCAGGGAGCTGAGATCCTGCCACTGCATGCCAGCCTGGGCAACAGTGTGAGACCCTTCCAAAAAAAAAAAAAAGAAATACAAGTGAAGCTTATCTCACTTGCCTGTGGCTACCTCCTGCTGTGCTGTCTGGTTGCTAACCAGGGGTCAGGGACCCCTGCTGTAGAGTGCACCTACCTTTGTTAAGGATGGTTTAAGAGCCACCAGGAATCCTGGGCATTTTCTGCATGTAAATGATCCAAGTAACAAACAAGGGAAGATCAGCAGAGCCAGGGCACCTACACGTTATCACAGCTATTGTGTCTGAGAAAGAATATCAACTTATGACAATCTTTTACCTTGGGACTTTCTGTGGGCCTAAGTAGAAGTAAAGTGCCACATACGTTATTTTATTTTTCTCTCATACTTCCTATAAAATGCCTAGTATTCCAAAAAGTAACTAGATTGAACTATGGGGCTAGTATTTGTAAATTAAACTCACCTAGAAGCCATTCTGTAATCAAGATCACATTCAGGAGTTATCAATTATAAATATCAACATACATCATTTTGATTGAACAGCTGTCCTTCCTGTGAAGCACAACATAATTAACCTTGATATCACAATTATAAATGGTTTGATATTATTTGTTGAAAATACAAAGTAACATTTTAACTTTGGCTATCAAATACAGACTCTATGATGAATGCCCTTTAAGTGTTTATATGCTGAAAAAGTGCTCTGACAGTTTCTCTTATTTCATACAATTTTACTTTTCTTATCTGAACACTCTTGATTTTGTCATGTTTTAACCCACAGTAGGATACTCGGGAAGGTAGAAAAACCTGATTTGTCTCGTGGGGCTTCAGCCTTTTTCCCTTAGGTTTCCACAGCACTTTATAAGACAGTGTGGCTTCAATTTCTTATATTCTAGTTATTTTCTCTGATATCTGATTTTATATCATTGGCATGAGGTCTGATTTGTTTTGCTTTTTTCTTATTCATTATCCTAGAAGCTAGCTGGGAAACCAGCCTGGGAAACATAATGAAACCCTGCCTTTACCAAAAAATACAAAAAATAGCCAGACATGGTGGTGCACACCTGTAGTCCCAGCCTACTTGGGAGGCTGAGGTGAGAGAATCTCATGAACCTGGAAGCTAACTCAGTACACAGCTAATATTGGCTCTCAAAAATCTATGAAGACTAAATAAATTAGTCCACCAAGATCCTGAAAAGTCTAACTCATACTTGAATAAGGCACACTCAAACCATCACTGACAAACTTACCACATTAATTAATGAAATATGGGGTTCAGGCCTAATTTATGTACCACCAGCAATGTCCTTTCACCAATAGCTATAAAAATCATTTTATTGGTCATTTTTCTGAGATTTCTTCAAATATAAATTTCTAAAATAGAAGAATTAACATAAAGAGGTAGAATGCAGGTGAACATTCATTAGAGCTGCAAGCTAGTAAACATGCCTGCTCATAATTAATGTATCTATTTTATATTTTATCTCCCTGGCATCTCCAAAACCCATATTCTACATTTTTGTTTTGTCTTTTATAAATATCTTTTAAAGGAGGGAGATCATGCCTTGTTTTGCATTATTTTCTCTTGCATAATAAAGGTACATCTTATTATTGGCATTTTATTTTCCCCTGGGTGAGTCATTGAAAATGGTAAAGCAAATGAGACCAGGAAGCAGGTGCATTTCTTACATTATTCTGCAGTGTTCTTTCCACATGCCCAAACTTTCGTGTTCAACTTGATAGGAATTAAATATGCTTTTCTTCCTTTAATGAATAAAGTTCTCTTGACAAGCACCTCCAACTGGAGAAGGAGACACTGTACGAGAATAAACGTCAGGATTTTTACTTTTGCTTCCTTTGAAAATCTTGTCTCCCCAAGGGCAAAAACATATTTCTGAGGAAACATCAAGAAGAATGTTTCACTTGGCTCTATGAACTCTGAGCAGATATATGTTCGTGTTCAGTATTTGTTTGCACACAGTGTTTTTACATATAATGAGAAATACAGGTTCTCCTCTTTCTAACATATTCCACTGTCCATCAAGAGGAAATTTATGTGTATTTATTGCTGCAGACAAAAAGCAGAATATTTTCAGGACATTGTTATTTTGATTTGACATCTAAATTTTTCCATCTGTGAAATGGGTAAATATATACCACCCTTATAAGCTGTTCGTGAAGGCTACTTGAGAAAATACTTGCAAATTGAATGTGATATGCAGATGAAAAATGCTTGAGTCAGTTCTTCAATGAGAACATTTGTCCTGTCAATGTTAACCTCATAATTTCACCCTTTTTCATTTTTAATTAACTTATTTTTCCTCTTTCTTCAGGAGTCTGAAAAGTATGAGTGAGACAGCGCTAAGCCTCTCAACCATAATCTGTAAGATGGAAGAAAACTCCTACTAGTGTGGAGCTGCCGGGTGTCCAGGTGGTCTGTCAGGACAATGAGCTGAAATGAAACTAACAATCAAGCCTTTGTTCACCTACTGTGATAATGTAATCAAGGGTCAAAATAAGCGCCAGCTCCCTAGTGTTAATTTTTCTCATGGGATAGCACTGGTCAGGAATGTGATGTATGCAGTGCAGGCCAGAGAAGTCTTCCCACTGCCCAGGAACACTAAACAAAAGGCTCCTGTTTTTTTAAGGACCCAGGATGCCAGAGTGAGAAAGAGGGACAGGGAAGGGAAGCCATAGGAGCAGAGGAACACTGAGTGAGGGTGGCTGAAAGCCAAGAACTCAAGGTCTCCGTGGAGACACTTGGGCTAAGAATGCAGATCTACATAACAGCAATGTTCACCAGGGAGGGGCCTGAGTCCTTAACTGCAACTCCCTCCAGAACATTCTAATGCACTGGCTGTGCACCACGTCTGAGGTGGGGAAGGCAAGGTTTCTCCCGTAAGATTTGCCTGGCAAAGGCTTATAATTGCTAAGGGTCAGGCATAAAAAAAATCACACAAAGGATTTTTGCCTAGAGTTGCTTTTGTGGATGTAAAATTGGAAAACAACTCACCCATATTAGGGAGAAAATAATATAATAGAGAAAAACTCCTTGCAATTTTAAATTACAACGTAGACATAAGTGACCTTCATAAGAAATGAGCATGTCTAGTATTGTTCAATAGCTAAAGAGGCTATAACGTATCTACATGATGATATATTAAGTAGTAGCTGTAAATGGTGTTTTGAAGAAATATTGAACAGTGAGAGAAAATATTTGCAGTGCTTGAAGTCAGGAATGTAGAGGAGCACATTTTATATTGAGTGAGCTACCAATTTATGGAGTGTGTGCGTATACAAACTTACATCTAAGGTGCAAATTAGCTATTATGGACAAATGGATTGCAAAAATTGTAATTCTACAAAATTTGACGAAGTCTCAAAAAGCATGCATAACTATTATAATTATTAAATATATTATTATACAAGTAACTAAAATAACTTTAAAGATATGCTGTCTGGGCAAAGGGGAAGGGTCTGTCAGAGCCAGCTCAGGGGCACTTGTTACCACTCGCAGCACAGATTGGGCAGGGGAAAGAAACAGAATTCCCAGAGACAGAAAGGAAAGTTCATTGAAACTTCTCACTCTGTGAAGCTTAAGTTTGCTACTTTGTTGGGCTTTTAGCTTGTCTTTTTCTTTTTTGAAAATATATCATGCTTCAAATAATAATTTAGTAAACCCAATGTGAATGAATTGATACCACAAATAGTTGGTGTGTGGGGACCTAAGAGAAGAAAACATTCATTGAGATAAGAAGTGGGATCATGACTGTTAGGGATGAACCTCTTCTTTACTGCCTCCTCATATCTCCCTGGGCTCTGTACTGCCTTTGTTCTTTAACTGTGTGTCTTAGTCCATTTGGGTTGCTATAACAAAATACCATCCACTAGGTAGCTTATAAACAGAAATTTATTGCTTATAGTTCTAGAAGCTGGCACGTCTAAGATCAAGGCACTAGCAGATTCAGCATCTGGTGAGGGCTTTTTCCTGTTTCACAGATGGCTGTTTCTCACGATGTCCTCACCTAGGAGAAGGGGACAACTCTGCTCTCTTCGGCCCCTTATAAGGGCACTAATTCCATTCATGAGGTCTCCACCCTCATGATCTCACCACTTCCCACAGGATCCTTATCCCCTAATACTCTCACCTTAGGAATTAAGATTTTAAAATATCAATTTTGGAAGAGCAAACCTTCAGACCATAGCACCATTTGTGCCCAGCTGGGTTGCCGCCTGTTGTTCTGACTGCACACCTGAGGAGCTTGTTCACACCGTATATCTCTCTGCAAATGTCACCTCTGCCATTTCAGCTGTGATACATGTTACTGACTAGCAAAGGGATTGGAGAAAATTACTGCATTTTTCCTATTTTATATCATCTTGACAACTTTAAACCTCCCCAAACAGCACAATCCTTTCAGAATTCTCAGTTACCTTTTGATTTTATAGAGATTTGTTTTAGAGGATTAAGGACTCTTCACCTTAGCCTCACCTCTTTTTAATCACTGGTCTTGATTCTGACATTTAAGCTTTATTTTCCTCGAGAAATTCTAAGGCGGAATTACTGCCATTTAGCAAAGTAAGAGAAGCAGATCCTGAAATAACAGCGGTAAACAAAGCAAGTTCTTTTCCTGAAGAATAGATGTAGAAGTAAAGCCACTGTTTCATTCCAGAATGATTCTTTCTGTTCGGAGCTGTTTCCTTCCCGTTCAGAATAATCAAAGCAGAAGCAAGTAAATTTCAGATGTACTGGAAAGCTCAACCTATAATCACTGAGCAAGTCAATCAAGAAAAGACATTTACCTCAAAATGAATATGTTTTTTAAAAATTTTGTGTGTAATCAATGCAGACAACCGTGTACTAATGGACAATGACCAGAAGATGGAATATTTTCATTTCTTTTTTAAAAATTGACTTTAACCTTATTAGTAATTGTCTTTTCAATTCAAATATATATACAATAATGAAAATGTTAACATTTTAATGGCTTTATATGCACATCTCAGGAAATTCATGCTCCCCTTCAAGGTGTTTTAACTGAAGAGGCCATCTCATAAACATAAACGATAAAAAGGAATCCCAAGCTATCAAGATAGACGTAGGTGGAATGTAATGTTTTCAGTCAAAGGAATTAAAAGGATTTACTTACAACCACGAAGTAAACAACCTGTGTTCTCAGATTTATCTTGACCTTCATTATTTGCTGTAGCCTGTGGTAGGACATATTTGAAGCAATCTTCCATTGTGGGTTGAGGCATCCCTTCTTTTGGAAAATCACGCAGGACCCAGGATAGAGACTGACAGAGATCAGAGTCTGCCCATGTGTCTTGAATCCACTCTAAGCCAAGAGAGAAGAATCTTTCTCAACCTCCCTGGTATGTGATTAAACCAATTAACTTAGAGAAACCATGAGATTGAATTTACAGGGCAAAAGTCACCCATCAATTGTTCAGTTTCTTAGCATCCTAATTCATTTTTCATTAGAGGATGAGCAACTTCAACTCCTGGATCTACCACTTACTAGCAGTGAGACATGGGCAAGCTTTTAACCATTATGGTCATCAGTTTCTTCATCTGTAAATTACGGCTACCACTGATTCTTCCCTCACAGGGTTATTGGAAAGATCAAATGAATTAACACATGAAAATGGGCCTGATTCATGCTGAGCACTGGGTATGTGTTTATATTCCATCATTCCCTTTCTCTCTTTAGCTAATTAAACAATTGGGATTCTGAGTACGTCTTTGTTCAGAGAAATGATTAATAATTTCAAAATTTCAAAATGTCAAGCTAATTATGTAAACCAAATCACTGAAAATTTGCATTTAACTTGGGTCTCGTCTTTGGTCAACAGAAATAATGTGATATCATGGATATACTGTGGATTTATCAAAATGCAGAGCAATTGCTTCTCTGATCACCCACAGATCACATTTAAAATAATTAATCATGCATTACAACAGATTGGCTATTTGGAAAATTTTGTATGAGTTTCTATTTCATTATTTTTATTGTTATTGGTTTAATATAATTTATCTCAGATACATGAAGTCACATGGTGCTCTGGTAGCCAGTCTGGATAAGGATAAGATTTGTCCCTCATTTTATTATTTATTATTTCTGCCTCTGTCCCCTGTCTACTTTGCTCCTTTCTGTTGTAGAGACTGTATTTCACTCAGTTCTAATATCCAAGTGGTCTGCTTTTCCTCCTCCCCTTCCCCTGGTCTGTTTCTTAATATAGGGAACTGACCTTCCATGAATGAAATTCCAGTGCTATAATACTTTTTGGCTTCCAGTTAGGCTGGGTAGATAGGAGGCACTGATGGGGAATGGAAGAAAAGAGGAGAGGAAAAAGCCAGATGATTCTCCTCTGGTCTCTCTTTCAACAGTCTTTAGCTGTGACATCAGTGCCTGCTAAGCAGTCCCCCTTCCAAGGTATGAACTCCCCCTAAATATCCCACACCCCCCGCCCGCCAGTGGCTCAGCCAGGGCCAGCTTTATGAATTAGAGACCTGTGAGGTCATAGTTGCATAGCGCCTCATGCATAAAAGGGTCCCATGCTTGCTTAATGCTCTGCTATCGCCATCTTGAAATTCTTAATGATTTTGAAAAAGGGCTCACTCATTTTCATTTTACACTCAGCCCTGTAAGTTATGCAGCCAGTCTTGGTTCCAGTACTGGTCAAGGAACCCCCTTCACATTTCTAGCTTTTCAGGTTTCACATTCACCTATAAATAGCAAAGAATGTAATTTTATTTTCTGCTACTGTAATACCAGTCTATTAATTTGACATATGAAAGGAGCAGCTAACTTTCATTTTTTACTATCTTTAACAATATATATAAGTTAGAATTATATGTTCCTTGAAAGGGCATGTTAAAATAGCATTTATCTATAGAACTACCTGACTCTGAAATGGTAGGGAGTGATGCAAGGAAGAGCGTCTTTCATTATTTTAATTTGTTCAATATTGATTTAATTTTTTAAGTTTTTTCTTTTATAAATTTTAGTATCTTGTATTTTTCCAATAATGCATCTCTTCTAAGGTTTCAAATTCGTTACTGTTTATATTATCTTTATATTACCACAATACATCAAGATTATCATATCGTATTATATCCTATATACTATATTTGTTATCATAATTATAGAATTATATTTTCTTCTAATCTGTATATTCATTAAATATTTAATCTGTTGTAGTAAATTCTCTCTTGCTACGTTGCACTTAGTTTTTTGCTCATCTTACAGCTTAAGTTGCACAAATATTTTTCTCAGAGTTTCAGCTGTATACCAAACTTCTTTTTTTTTTTTTTTTTTTTTTTTTTGAGACAGAGTCTCGCTCTGTCACCCAGGCTGGAGTGCAGTGGCCGGATCTCAGCTCACTGCAAGCTCCGCCTCCCGGGTTTACGCCATTCTCCTGCCTCAGCCTCCCGAGTAGCTGGGACTAAAGGCGCCCGCTACCTCGCCCGGCTAGTTTTTTGTATTTTTTAGTAG